GATTTTTGACAAAGGTACGAAGACATGCAATGGATAAAGAAAAATCTGTTCAATCAATCGTGTTGGGAAAACTAGATATCCAAAGCAGAAGAATGAAATTAGACCCTTATCTCACCCCATAGCAAAGCCAACTTAAAAGGGACTGAAAACTGTAAGACTTGAAACTGAAACTACTAGATGAAAATAGAAGAAATGCTCCACAACACTGGTCTGGGCAAAGATTTCTTGGATACGTTCCCAAAGTCAGAGGCAACAAAAGTTAGACTCAGCCAGGTGCATGGTTCATGCCTGTAATCCCAGCACTTTGGGAGGCCAAGGCAGGTGGATCATGAGGTCAGGAGCTCAAGACCAGCCTGGCCAATATGGTGAAACCACATTTCTGCTAAAAATAAAATTAGCCAGGTGTGGTGGCTCATGCCTGTAGTCTCAGCTACTCTAGAGTCTGAGGCAGAAGAAGCCCTTGAACCTGGGAGGTGGAGGTTGCAGTGGGCTGAGATTGTGCGGACTGGGCAACAGAGCAAGACTGCCTTTCAAAAAAAAAAAAATTATACTCATAGAAGTAGAGAGTAGAATGATGATTACCAGAGGCTGGGGAAAAAGGGTGAATGGGGAAAGGAGAGAAGTTGCTCAAAAGGTATAAAGTTTCAGCTGGACAGGAGAAATAAGCTTTAGTGATCTATTGCTCAGAATCATGAGTTAAATAATAATGTCTATTTCAAAATTGTTAAAGGAATAGATTTTAAATGTTTCCACCACACACAAAAAAATAAGTACATGTGGTGATAAAATGTGCTAATTAACCTGGTTTAATCATTTCACGTTGTAAACATATCAAAACGTCACATTATACATCACAAATATATATAATTATTATTTGTCAATTAAATATAAAATTTTAAAAATATATCTTGTTATTCTGTAGGATAGAAGTTTAACACAGTTTTACTGGGCTTTAGGAGGCTCTGGAAAAGATTCATTTTGTCCTGGTTCCCTTGCTTCGTCTTCAAAACCAGCAGCAGGGCTGTATCCTTCTCACATTGATTTCTCTGACCTCTGTGTTCATCATAACACTCTTTTCTGTCCCCTCTTTCATTTTTGTTGTTGTCTTGGTGCTTGTAAAACTGTTGATTTAATTTATTTCTATTGATTTACATTCAATGTTTATCATATATGCAAGTGACACTTTTTCATTGCAAAATTTTTAGACAGTAGAGAAGTATAAAGAATAACCTTTCAGCTATAATCTCACTTCATTTTAGTACACATTGTTTGTTTTTTCTACAGACATGTTATTTCTATATATGTATGCTTATATGTATGTGTTTATATATATACATATATGCTTATTTTCACTCATATTTTGCATACTAAATTATAAACTGATTTTTAAAAATTGAATAATATGAACGATATAGTTAACATTAGTAAACTTAGGTCTACATTTTAAATATCTGTGTAAAGTTTTTCTGGCTAGGTATACAATAATCTCATGAATGGATGTTAAGATCATTAACATTTTTATATCTTTTTGGATTTGATTTGCTGACTTTTATTGATGATTTTTAAATTTATGTTCATGAAGGATATGGTCTGTAAGAGTTTTTTTGTTTTTGTTTTGTTTTGTTTTGTTTTTGAGACAGAGTCTCGCTCTGTCGCCAGGCACCAGGCTAGAGTGCAGTGGCACCATCTTGGCTCACTGCAACCTCCACCTCCCGGGTTCAAGCAATTCTCCTGCCTCAGCCTCCTGAGTAGCTGGGACTACAGGTGCCCAGCTAGTTTTTGTATTTTTTTTTAGTAGAGATGGAGTTTCACCATGTTGGTCAGGATGGTCTCGATTTCTTGACCTCGTGATCCTTCCACCTCAGCCTCCCTGCTGGGATTACAGGCATGAGCAGCTTTTTTTTTTTTTTTTTTTCTTGTAGTGTCTTCATCTGGCTTTGGTATTAATGTAATACTGGCCATATAGAATGAATTAGGAAGTATTCCCTCTGCTTCTATCTTCTAAAAGCAATCATAGACAATTAGTATAACATTTATTAAATTTTGGTAGAATTTTCCAGTGAACCTATCAGGATCTGGTGCTTTCTGTTTTGGAAGGCTACTAATTATTGATTCCATTTCTTTTATAAACATAGACCTATTCAAAATTGTCTGTTTCTTCTTATGTGAGTTTTGGCAGATTGTGTCTTTCAAGGAATTGGTTCATTTCATCTAGGTTATCAAAATGGTGGATATACAGTTGTTCATAATATTTTTTGACTATCCTTTTAATGTCCATGGTATTTCTAGTGATGTGACCTTTTTCATTTCTAATATTGGTAACAATTTGTGTTCTCTCTTCCTTTTTGTTAGCCTGGCTAGAAGTTTATTGATTTTATCAGTCTCTTTATTTCTTCAAGATGGGAGTCTTACTATGTGGCCTAGGCTGGAATTAAGTTTTTGGGCCACACAATCCTTCCATCTCAGTGTCCTGAGTAGCTGGGACTACAGGCAAGCACCACCATGCTTAGTTTCTGTTGATTTTTTTTAAAGAATCAGCTTTTGATTTCATTTATTTTCTCTATTTCCTATTTCCAATTTCATTGATTTCTTCCACATTAATTTTTATTAATGAAAAATTAATTTGAATTAATTTTTATTATTTGTTTTCTTCTGCTTACTTTGGATTTAATTTGCCCTTTTTCTAGTTTCCTAAGAATGAGGCATAAATGATTGATCTTTTGGTTCCCACAACTTGTCAAGACATTTTTATTTTTTATTTTTACTTGATTCAAAATATTCTTTAAATTTCCCTTGTGAATTTTTTTCTTTGATCCATCCCTCTTCCACTTTTAATTACACTGGGTTCAACTAAGTAATCCAGGATAATTTCCCTATTTTATCATAGACTGATAAGCAAGCTTAATTTCATTTACAACCTGATTTCCCTTTTCCATGTAATCTAGCATATTTATAGGTTCTGGAGATTAGGATGTGGACTTAACATTTAGGGGATGAGGCGGTACTATTCTGCCTACCACGGTGGCTCTTTTAAGAATTAATAAAGCAGCCGGGCGTGGGTGTGGTGGTGTGTGCCTGTAGTCCCAGCTACTGGGGAGGCTGAGATGGGAGGATCGTTTGAGTGCAGGAGTTCTGGGCTGTGATACTCTATGCCGATCGGGTGTCCGCACTAAGTTCGGCATCAATATGGTGACCTCCCGGAAGTGAGGGACCACCAGGTTGCTGAAGGAGGGGTGAACCAGCCCAGGTCAGAAATGGAGCAGGTCAAAACTCCCATGCTGATCAGCAGTGGGATGGCTCCTGTGAATAGCCACTGCACTCCAGCCTGGGCAACACAGTGAGAACTTATCTCTAAAAAAAGAGAATTAGGAAGGCAATTTGATCAACAAAATTCACACTAATATGGGAAAAAATGCTTTTGTTAAAAGTAAATTGCTAATGAGTTAAATTATAAAATATGACTGAGGGTAATATTAACATTTGTTGCAGCTGGTTCTTTCCAAGAGGTATGTCAGTGACCCACATGTTGAATACCTCATGCTTTCTCAGCTGCTGACACATCTCTCAGGCTGACTCTTGCCCTGGATAGATGAAGAGATCAAAGACTTACCAAATTTACCTGTTCTGAGTCCCATTTCCTCAGGACACGTAGTTATATGATCATTTAATTCATTAAGAACTCAGTCTTTAGGCTGAGTGTAGTAGCTCACGCCTGTAATCCCAGCACTTTGGGAGGCCAAAGGAGGGTAGATCACTTGAGGTCAGAAGTTCGAGACCAGACTGGCCCACATGGGGAAACTCCATCTCTACTACAAATACAAAAATTAGCCGAGGATGTTGACACACGCCTGTAGTCCCAGCTATTCAGGTGGCTGAGGTAGAAGAATTGCTTGAGCCCAGGAAGCGAAGATTTACTTCGTCTCAAAGAAAAAAAAAGAACTCAGTGTAGATCTCTGGTCACTCTTGTAGCTAAGTGACCTTTAGGAAGTTATTCAATCTAAGACTCAGTAAAATGGTCAGTTGTGGAGACTAAATATGAAAAATATTATGTAAAACTCTTACCAAAATATGTGATACTTGGTGAGCACTCAGTAAATTTTCATTAGTAGTAGGAGTAGTAGTAGGAGTGGTGATGTTGTAGTAGGTAAAATGTTCATGTCCGTGTGTTGTTATATAATATCTCGTTGATGACTGCTGAGGAAACACAACGTCTTTATGCACAGTTTTCAATCTTCTTGGTAGGCTCCAGGGGAGGTTGGGCACATCTCTATAAAGCAGAGCAGCTGGAGAGTGTTGACGCAAAGTTAAGAGAACAATTTTGTTAAAATCTGTTTTCAATATGGTGCTTGGCATTCACTGAAATAAAAATATCTGCAGCTTTGAGAACAAAGATGGAAAAATCACTGTTCTCTCTGAAAAAAATGACCCCCTAAGAGTGGAAGAGTGGCAGGTATGAGGGGAGGTATCTGGGAAGGCTGTGCCCCAAATCTGACCATATAGGTAGTTGACTATTCCGTTCCACATGGTGTCAGGCTGACCTTGTAGGAGGAGAGAGAGATTTAATGTTTGTTTCAGAGAAGGAAAATTGGTGCTTCCAGCCTAGCAGACAGAGGTTTTGCTGGCCTGTACCTCAACAAAATTGCTACTAAATGTTCTAGGAGTCATAACATAAATGTTAGTTATTCTTTGCCTTCATGAAGAAAAATAGAATCATCTGGAAATGGAAGAAAGAAATGTTTTACATTTGAAATGTTTCCAAACTGGTGTTCTTTATTTCATTTTAGGGAACAACTGTGGCTTATCCATCCTCATTTGATAATTACTTCCTTTGCAAACATCAAACGATTTTTTTCATATGTGGAAGATGGTGCATGAATGATAGCACCCAAAATAATCCTTGCTGTTCTCACATAGCATATGCTCTTTTGATATTTTTAGCATATTGTAGTTGACAAATGAATACTAATCACTGATTTCTCTTCACTCTTTTTCCCTTTCAGGCCCTTGAGGGAAAGCTACTTGATCAAACATCCGATAGTCACAAATTTGAAACCGTGCTTCAGAATCCCAGCACATAGTAAAAGACAACACTGATTATTATACCTGTCAAGAAGCTGTGAACACATGGTGTATAAATTCTTTACCAAGGCAACTCGACACCTTCTTTCTCTGGGCTTGAAACGCCACTGCTCACGTGGGCTTTACATACATCAACTTTCCATTCACTGCAGTGGGAATTCTCAGTGTGCAGAAGGAGAGGTTTTCTAGTCTGCAAACTGAAACCGTATAAGAAGAATAAAGTCTATGACTTTTAAATAAATCACCAGGGCCAAGATTAAGTGAATCTTGGATCCATAGCTTTTCCAGATATTAGCAAACCCCTCATTAGGCTGTAATTCAAACTGCATCAGTTCAAATTTTTGCCACTTAACAGAAACCTACACATTGCCCCTTACCCTGACCTGTGCCACAGTCCACAGTGCTGCGTTGTCTGAAAAATTCCGGTTAATTGCAAATTCAACCTCTGTTTTCCTCTTGAAAATTGCAAGGTATCATACTATATTTGTACTGTCTTCAGGTTCTAGAAGCTATCAGCTTTTTGTTTCCACGAATTTTATTATGCATTAATAGAATGGACCAATTTTAGCTTAACTTTTAGTTTGTTAGAAGCAAGGATAGAAACTCCAGCATGTAGTTTTTAATTTAATTGTTGCTTATATCTATTATTATTAATTTCAACAGAATATAATATATATTTATTCCACAAAGTATATATTATCAGAATACATTTGTCACAACTTAGGTTCTTTTCTTACCAAGTGCTATGAATCTGGTAAGAGAATACTAGCAAAGAAGCTAGCCCCGTGAACTGATTCTTATATGTTACATAAATAACCCCACTCTCAATATTTTTTGAGTTTTATGCTTTTTGTTTGATAAACACTGAAGAAATCCAAACTCTGCTGACACTGATGTGCTGTCATGGAAGTCTATTTCATATTTTAAAGCTTAGCTTTACAAAACGCAATTATATGTGCATATGTGTTCAAATAATTATGTCATACAAAGTTTAGATCAATTTTTCCAAATAGAAACTAGATATTTTTGGCACTCAGATAAACAAATATTATTTCTCTTATAATTGGGCAGATGGAAACCAGTAATATCAATGCTGCGTCCTCTAGAGAAATATATATATATATATATATATATATATATATATATATATATATATTCCTGTAGGTAAATAGACAATGGGATATCATTCACTGGAAAAATAATCTGTTAGAACTACCTCTGCAGGTCATTATTTTTGGTTTATGATAAATCTAGGCACCTAAGTCTGATTTTACTTTATGAAATAAATAGGAAGCAATAATTATTTGGGCATTTAACTACCTTAAGCACAGAAATGTAACTGAGAAAAGAATAATTGCTTAGTTGAAACATTCAAAATAGATCAGGAAAATGGAGGCAAATATTTGAATATTCTCTTTTCTCAGACACGGAAATTGATTCCCCTAGATACAATATAATTTGACACTTCAGATAGTCCCTCAAAATACAAATATATGAAGCTACTTTAGACTGTCTTCTTAAAAATAAAACAAAACCAATCAAACCTACCCAGCACATTTTATTATGCCCTGTTGGGTGATAGTATTGTCAATACCAGGTTTTCCCTGCTCTTCAGAGTGCATCCCCCACCATAGGAAAAACAGCAAGGAAACTAGGAGGTTCGCTAATTTCAACAATGCCCCCCTGTAGTAATAGATTCCCATCCTTGAATACATATCATTTTTTACTAGAGAGAACTGGGGAGGTGGGGTGGGGCAGTGAGGACCCTGAATATTATATAAAATAGATTTACAAAAGAGACAAGCCTGATGAAAGGGAATGAATGGAGACGATGTATTATTCAGTTTGAAAAAGATAGTTCACGTTTTTATAAGAAAAATTTAATAAAACATATATTTTAGTTATCATTTAACAAAGATATATTAAAGCTGTTCAGGCAATGCCACAGAATTCTCATAAAGGGAAATCATTGAACCCTTGTAATGAGAAAATGGTCATTTCAACACATTTCAATACATTGTATAAATTTGGAGCTTAAGGTGAGTGAGTATGTTTTCACTTAGTCATAAGCATTTGGTCAATATTAAAGTTATCGTATGGTTTCACGTCAATACAAATATTGTCACGATGTTACAGAAACAACTATCAAATGGTAAGATAGTTTACATTTGTGTTTTCTAGAAGCCTTTGTATTTTATGCTTCATTTACTTAATGTTAAGTGCTGATAAACACGTGCCAGGTTGTTAAAGAGGCAATCCATCACACCTAGGACATCTAGGAACAGATTACCCATAAGAGTGATCTCATATACAAATGACCAGTTTCCTTCAGTAAAATATTTTTGGTTGAAATGTAAGCTTTTTCCTAAAGTTTTTATCAGAAGTAGCCATCACTAAGACTTAAGCTGCTTGTGGGTCTCTTAGGTTTCACTGAAGCCAGAACAAGAGAGAAAAAAATACCATGATTTGTATTATACTAATGATCTTCATTATTAACGATCATATTGGAGCCACTGACATGTCCCAAATTATATTAAAATAAAAACCTGCATTCCTCTGACGTGAAGCTCAATTTAATGTAATAAACAAGTTAGATATTAAAAGCTAAAATTTTAAAAACTGCTATGATATCACCAGAAATCCTGGTGAATTTTAGTTTTTTCCCTTTTTCAGGCCAGTGGCATAGATTTTTCTAAACTTTTTCCTGCTATGATTTTGAAGACAAATACATGGAGCACAGTTCAGTAAAAGAGTTTCCAAACCTTTTCAATGGAGCATTTACATTCTGATTCTGTTGTCATTTGAAATAGAACATCTGCAGGGAGATAATGAGCTTAAGTTACAATTGACTTTGGAAAGAATAACAGATTTTTGTGCTTCCTCAATCATGTAGTCAATAGGGAATTCTCTAGTTATGTGAACAATCACAATCTTTTAAGACAATACTAAGATCTAAATGCAAAATCTAGCATGCAGAGGCTTTTTAAGGATTTTAGACTGTCTCAGAAGAACTTGGCTCGAGATGGTTTACACAAATTTACAAATGCAGTTTTCAACTGTGACATCAAACTGATTTTATCTCATTTCCTTTTACTCAACTATGCCTGGACTCCAAGAGGTGGAATATTTTGTCTACATTATTTTAAACATCTATAGATATGTGTGGATGTGTGAATAACGCCTGAATTTCTCATCTGTTAGCTAGGTTTGCTTTTGTCATACAGACACAGCCTGTTCATAAGGCCAGCTTTAGACAACATAGAGGACTCAATGCTCTGAAGATTCAGGGAGGCCAACATGGAAAAGATCTTCCAAAATATGGGTGGTCTGACCCATCTCATCTGTCTCTAGCTGGAACACTCAATAGAGAAAGGGCTGTGACTGCCTTTACCACTACTTGGCACAACGCAGACACTCAATATTTGTTGGATGAATAAATGACTTAATCAGTGAATAGACCAAAAAAATGGATTTTGCCTTCTGAAAATTGCACAAATTTTACCAGCTTATACTGATTGACACTATGGTTTCTAAATTTCATGGTCAGAACAATAATTGAGCCTTTATAAAAACTTTTTGGATATATGAATTTGGAATTTCATTACTTTAAAGGCTTCAAAGATTTGAGGACATTTGAACAGTGGATAAGGAACAATGTTTGGGGATACAGAGATTTTACACTGAGTTGAACCCAACCTTTCTGATTTTTTATACAAGCTTCCCGAATTACTTGGCAGGAATGATTCAAACACAGAACCCTATTTTAAAATTTTATAAAAGATGTTTTCATTTTTCACTTAAAATGATCATCAGGCATATTATCCCCTTTGATATTTATTAACAACTGTTCTCTAAGAAATTCATAGTAATTAAAGACACCATCCCTAAATCTTTTCCTACTTTCAAAAGATCACTTATCCTTTCATATTTGATTCCTAAAATGTACTAAGCTGAAATTTAATCACTTACTTATTCAAACTTTTCCATGTGTTTACTCATTTAACAAATATTTATTGTGTACCTAGTGCATGCTAGGTTCTGGAAATGCAAGAGCAAACAAGACAGACACAATCCCTCGTGGAGCTTACTGTGAGAAATCTCCAACATTTACCCTAGCAATAACTAGAGAATTTACTTTCCACTGGGTCCTCTTCACACCTGATAGAAAAAATAAAATCCCTCGCCCCATGGAAATAATGAAATATTCCCTGCACAGATTTATGTGAGCCTGGTTTTCTAAAAACACCCCTCAAAAATGCTGCTTAGTTTATCCATAAACTGTAGTTATACCCCAGTGAGGTAGGTAAGTAATAATTTATTCATAACTAACATTTATTCAGCTCTTACTATTTTCTAGTTACTATGCTCAATGCTTTCATGGACTATCTCATTAAATCCCTTCGACAACTCTATTCAATAGGTTCCATTTTATAGATAAGAAAACTGAAGCACAGATATATTATGTGACTTGTCCACGGTCACACAGCTAGCAGGTGGAACTGGGATTTGAACTCACGCAGTCTGACACAAGAGCTCTTACGTCTATCATTATCTGTGGTTTGGGGAACACCATTATGTTAAAATGAATGAGTCACTAAGTGAGTCACTGTATATAAACGTACTTGGAAATTGTAAAGTAATATATAAAAGATATTAACAAAGTATTATTTGTGGAAAACAAATCACATCAGTAGTAAAAACAGGATAAGAACTCAATCTTATGTTATAGCTTACTCTTAAGAAGAATATGTGAAGCCAGGAACACGGTTAAAGGTACAGAGGAGAAAATTTCTGACATGTGATAAATATTTCAGTGACTTCTCAGAATTATTTCTTGTTAGCTACTGTGTCTACTTGGTGCTACAAAAACTGAAAGAAACAAAATCTCTGATGTAAGGGCTTATAATAAATACACAGTTTGGAGATGAACTAAGAACATTTTACACATTTATGGGGAAGCATTGGACAATAGTATCACTTTCTCACCATTTGCATGTACATCATGTCTTTGCAATTGTTTTCATTATTTTTCTGAAAAAGCTGCAAAATTGTGCAGTGGTTCAACCTGACCAAAGTGGTATTATGCTGCTGGGAAGTAAAAGTATTAGACACCAAACCGGAATTATTGTTTTCATTATCAAGTGACTTTAAGTTATTTTAAAGCATGGATGTAAAATAATTTTTAGATGCTGAAGGTACCTGAATATTGGGATGCTAAGTTTCTTGGGTTTCTCCATTCCT